CTGTTTGAGCAGTAGGTTCAAGATGTTTTAATGAGGTGGGCTAAAAATCAGACAACACTGGCAAAAAGATGGGAGGAAGCCCTGAAACGCGGGGCTCCGGTGGGAGGAGGAGGAGGAGGAGAAGAGGCACCACATTCTAAGCAGGTGATCTGTTTGAGCAGTAGGTTCAAGATGTTTTAATGAGGTGGGCTAAAAATCAGACAACACTGGCAAAAAGATGGGAGGAAGCCCTGAAACGCAGGGCTCTGGTGGGAGGAGGAGGAGGAGGAGAAGAGGCACCACCATGGACAGCTCAACCACCACCACCGGGAGCTGCCACTGCAACAGGATGGACAACAGGACCTGTTCCAAATCCCTCACACAGGGAGGAATTCCAGCTGCAACACCACGGCCCGTGGGACTACTTCATATTAAGGTTCCAGAAATACACAGGGTTCGAGCAAAATTCAAGGAACGTGTGTCAAACAGGTCTCAAAGCCAGTGGTGGGTACCCTGAGCAGACGAGAGTTGGAGGTTGTTCATGAGAAGGTTGGCTACAGCACCACAAATCTCTACAGCAGAGCACCAGTGGAAAAAAAAATTATTTGCCTTCATGAAGCAAACCCCAGTGAAAAACTTGCCTTCGCCCATCGAGCACCAGCTGCTGGCAGAGATTTGATATCAAACCAGAGCAACAAATGTTCCGACACAATGTGGAAAATACCACTTTCTATTTTCTTGGAGGCTACAATGCTCAAGAGCAAAGGAGTTCAGGGTCAAATCTAGTCCCCTGTGAAAGCACAGAGACAGCTAGGAATCCCTGCTGAACCTCAGCAGCTCTGCTGGCTGTAGCATGTAGTGCCTGCTACAAAGCAACTTGCTTAAAATCAGTCTCACACAGTATCTTCTCCCTCATAAAAGCTTCTAACTGCAGTAATACTAGGTTAGCAACTCCAGGGATTTTTACCTTTATTTTTGGCTACTCAAGAGCGTATCATAAGCCCTACATACACACTGCACTGCCAAAAAACCAAGCTAAAACAAAACAAGGCACACACAGAGGGCAGTTTCAACACCTAAGTTAGTTATTTCACTAAGGCTGCCTACACTGACCCAATTGTGCTTGGGCTGCACTGGGAACTGCCTTAAACACAGCTCATTAATGCTGGTACGTTTTATTAGTCTGGGTCGTAAAAGTTATTTGGACGAGAAAGACCGAGGAGGTTCCAAAGTACACCATGGGTCTTACTCCCCTGTTCACAGAGGGGATAACATCACCCCGAGCAGCCCCACGGAGCCACGGGGGGGACAGTTCCCAAACCAAGTGGACCCTGGTTTTGGCCATCGATGCCCTTTGGCAAGAGCAGCCCAAGGTGCCCGAGGGCTCTGCCAAGCTCCCGAAAAGAACCCCCAACCGAGACACATACCCACAAAAGCTGTCGTTTTCAAGCAGCCAAACACCAACCATTTCCCCAAAGCCAATCATCTTCACATTGTAAAGCCTAGCTGCCACCACACAAACTCCATCCCTAAACTAATTCCCTAAAAGAAGCAAGAACAGAACTAAGAAGATGACACCCAAACTGAGATGCAACAGGGTTGTGATTTTTCTTTCAGGCATCACCACACAGCACTCTGAGAGCTTTGGCTCGTTTTGTTGGCTTCTGAGGCCCGCAAGATAAAAACAAGTAAGTAAGAAGCACCTGAAAACTTCCTCCTGCCGCTGCGTTTCCACTGCTAATCACCTGCAGGCTCGGGGAGCTTTCTACCCAAGCTTTCACACTTTAAAAATGAATTTTTTCACCCTATTGCACGCTCCTCTCAAGACCCAACCAGCCGGCACCAGGCACCGAGCTCCACCTCAGGGTCCCATCTCTTTTTAAACCCATAAAGAAGCAGCAGAGACGCCGCCGGCGGAGCCCCAACCGAGCCCGGGACCGGCGCTGGGCCCCGGCGACCCCGGCGCTGGGCTCCTCCCGGCCCCCGACCGGCACCGGCCTTCCCGGGGGGGTGGGGACCTGCGGGGACACCGCTCCCGAGGCTGATCCGGCCGGACC